AAAAAAAAAAAAAAACGTGAAGTTATTTTTCGCTAAGAATTTTAAAATAGCTTTCCTTCGCGAATAAATTCCAAATATTTCAAATATATATTTTTATCCGTTCCATTAAATAAAAGCATAATATCGCATAATAATCTTGATGATCTGAACGCATTAACGCAGGTGAAATTTCGGTTGAGCGTTCCCTAGGCGCGAGTAAAAGGGGGGGCAAAAAAAAGTTTCTCTAACAATTTGAGGTTGTTATCGCGTCGCACACTGCAGCGGAGAAGCTGTGCGCTTCGCGGTTTCGCGGGGACAAAAGCGCGAAACGTTATGATGTTCAGACAGAGATTGTGCTTCAGTGTCCACGACCTGTCTCGTTCCGCGTGAATGTTTTCGCTTTTGGCATTTCGTGCCATCGTAATCCTGGACTTAGGACGCGACATTTTACCACCTCTCTCCTAGATTCTACTTACAAAGCGTGGCTTTAAGCCATTGAAAATTGAACCTGAATTCCTGAAATCGCTTTTAATCCCTTTCGATCTACTTTTCTAACTTTAATTGAAATTTCTCTCGATTCTCATCGTAAGTTCGCACGATACGATACGATTATTTCTTCTAATTCGATCAATTAATTTTACCAACGCAATTAATAAAAAAAATTTTTTCCCTTTCTTTTAAACATTCTCTTTCTTTTCCATCCCATTTCTCTGATTAAAAAAAAAACTCCATTCACATCCACACAGATTTAAACGTAGATTATATTCAATCTCTTAGAGATTCCTCTCTATCTTTCTCCTCGAACAAGATCCCCCTAAAACGATTGAACGTATACCGGCGTGAAGGAATTGTCGCGACGCACGCAACTGCGATGGAACACGTTGTCATCGTGATGTTGGATCCCTCGTTACACCGAGGTTCCATGAACGAGCGACAAAGGGGGAGGGAGACGACGACACCGAAGAACTCGACGGGAAAGTAACCCTTCGTCGTAACTCGTGTCGGCCATTTCGGTTCACGGCGAAACGACGATTTACATGGGCCGTAACCGCGGAAAGGATTTTCGGGAAATTGGATGTTACTCTCGTTCACTGTTTTTATTTTCGCCACGCTCCTTGGGTACGGTTTAAGCCTGATTTTCGAATGATTTTGGCCGAATAAAAAAGGAAAAAAAAAAGAAAATTCAAGAAAGAACGTAGGGGTTGCGGGGTAAGCTCGTATTTATTGAGAGATAAGCTGGTATTTATTTAGGTTTACGAGGGATGGTTTTGGTAGTGGCGGCGGCGGCGGTGGTTTATCGGATAGAAGGAAGAATGTGCTTCCAAGATATCGATTGAGGGGTAGGAAATACTTTTTGGAAATTAGGGTTTGATACGGGGATAATTCCATGAGATTGGATGTTGTCTGTTTTGCAGTACTGTGTTATACTGCTCTTATATTTTACTATCCTCCCTGTATTTTATTATTTCAATCAGAATTCTCCCTTTCTCTCTCCAACATTGTGGATAATTTCAACCCTTGAAATTGTTTCGAATTCCCGAACGAAACGAAAGTTACGAGTTTTTCTCCTTCCTTGGATTCAAGATTTTCTTTC